ACCCTAAACCCTAAACCGAGGCCCTCCACCCCGGAACTGCTCTGCCGAAGACCCGAGCCCGAAACTGCGGCGAGGTCTGAATTGGAGAAGAAGGTCCTGCAGTACCGCTGCCAGTACGAGAAGGCTTAGGGTTTAGGGTTTAGGGTTTAGGGTTTAGGGTTTAGGGTTTAGGGTTTAGGGTTTAGGGTCCCTAAGGGATTTAGGGTGTAGGATTTAGGGTGTGGGGGGTTTAGCTCATGTAGAAGCCCGAATTAGTAGCACCATTAGCCCCTAGGATTTTGTTTATCATCTGTTGTTATGATGTACACCAACATTCTATCCTGAACACTACGGCTCCTACATTAGGATGTCTGCGAAGCTACAGAAAGATCTTCAGAGCAGGACTTGGCGCCCGAAGTTCGAACCTAGCACTTGGAAGATCAATCTGCCCTAAACCTTCGTGTGCGGCTTCAAGCATCTACTGTTGGAAGCTCTTGGTCCTATATTTATGGGGTCATAGCAGCCTACTGTTTTGCTCTGTTCCGGTTGTCTTAAAGGAGCAATAGAGGTTTCCACATGGCTGCGAAACAAGGTTTAGGGTTTCAAGATTTCGGGTGTGGCTGTCAAGATTTGGCTTCAGCATCTCGCTAGCAGACAGATCTTCGGATAGACACAGAGTCTCGAGGCTGAATAATTCGACAAACCAGCCCCTTGTAACTTATTTTCCTTGTGGGTGTTTAAGTGGGCCAACTATTCAAACTCTCAGTGCCCCCTACATTCAACCCCCAAACCGCTAGGGTTTAGGGTTTAGGGTTTAGGGTTTAGGGTTTAGGGTTTAGGGATTAAACCCTGCTAGGAACATTGTGGTTACCCAATTCCGAACACACCTGAAGCCAGGCTTCAGGGCGAGGGCGCAAACGCCAAACCCGAAGCCCTAAACAAGGCCCTACACCCTATACAACCCGTATACATCCCGAAAGCCCCTTCATAAGAACACTACTAAATCCTAAACCCTAAACCCCAGACCCTTAACCCGAAGCCGTATATGACCCCCATAAGGTCTTATAAGTTCCTGCACACCCCTCTAGGAGCCTTATCCAGGAACAACACTACGCAACCTTAAGTCCTCAATCTTAAGCCCTACACCCTAGATCGCAAGCCCGAAGCCTCACAGACCCTAAATCCCTGTCTCAACAATCCAGCGACATCCCATAAATACCAGTGAAAAACCCTTGAAAATTTACCTTCAAGCCCCTGACATTGTCTGTATATATATATATATACATACATACTTTATATATATATATATACGTATATAACTTATATATATATATATATAGATATGGTAACATTATTATGAATATTATAGCATTCCTAAAGCCAAGCCCCTGCCTACTCTGCAAAGGCGGCCTCGGAGGTTCAGAAGATGCAGGCAGCGGCCCAGCACTACGCCAGCCTCGACCGCGAGGCGGACTCTCGAAGGGTAGGAGGGAGGGTTTAGGGTTTAGGGTTTAGGGTTTAGGGTTTAAGGTTTAGGGTGTAGGGTTTAGGGTTTAGGGTTTAGGGTTTAAGGTTTAGGTTTCAGGGTTTGGGGTTTAGGGTTTAGGGTTTAGGAGCTTTAGAGCTTTTGGGGCTTTGGGTTCAGGCTTTAGGAGCTTTAGAGCTTTGGGGTCTCAGGGGTTTAGGGCTTAGGGTTAGCAGCTT